TGTCTAGGCCACAGAAAGTTGTGGGACGGCCTAATTAGCTTGCTTCTTCTGAGATCCATCGAATTGTGGCTGCATTCAATATATATGGACCAAATACGTGTGTTCCATCGTATTCATACGTTAGGTCACTTAGGTGGAGGATCAATCATTGACATGCAAGTTGTCCGTAGTATTATTGTTGTTGTGGTCTTTCACTCTTTCGGCTTCTGATTTTTAATTGCTCCCAAGAAATCTATGGCCAAAGTATCGTTGTTGTAGTTTCAAATATATTATACAATATCAACCAAAATGAAAGATAGGAGATAAAAAGATAAAAGTAAAATAAAAAAAATAACATGGAAATGGTGGATTGTTTTTAGACAATGCCCGATTTGAAAAATGGTGGATTTCTTTAAATAAGGCCTCTCCACTCCCACTTAAGGGTTACGAAACTTTGAGAGAGGCCTAGGCACGAGTTTAGACTAGTTTTTCCGCTATTTTTCTCAAGACCCTGGGATTATTTGTAAGTTTCATCTTTTTAATTAATGACAATTATTTCTATTCTTCCCAATTCTATTGGGATTAGGGTTTCGGCGTCAAGCACGGCGCCAGGCACGCCCGTGCCCGCGCCCGTGCATTCGGAGCATCTTCACTTTTTGCGTCCAGGCATGGCGTGTGTGCCTTGCCAAGCACGACCGTGCCTAGCTTCCAGGGAATGGGTTCCTCGATATACTACAGGCATGACGTGCGTAATCTCCTATGCACGATCGTGTCTGACCTCCAGAGTGTTGGGCGTGTTTCGGAAAAACGAAGAAATATTAATTAATAAAAATAATTAATTAGTTAATAAAATAGCTAAAGAAAACCAGAAATAAGATGGAGCAGATTTTAGCCAGAGCTCGTGCTACGCACGATGTCCTTAAAACGTATTCGTCGCCTCCCACGGTGCTAGGAGCGTTGCAACGACCGTTTCCCGGGATACGGTGGCTAACGAACTAACGTTTGAGCACACAAACGAGAGTTCCGGCGAACTGGAACACAGTATGAACACTTAGGAATTTTTCAGAGTAGCTGGAAGTGTTTTAGAGCTCAAAAATACGTGAGGAATGTATTGTGAGTTGTGTCTTGTTGCAAAGAACCTGTCAGCTATTTATAGGAGGATTTGTTGTGTGTTAAATAGGGTGTTAATGGACCTGAATGTTGGACATTGAATCGTCCATAAACTGTCCATTTAACGCTGCATCAAAAGACAAAAACGTTGGGCATTTAATGGTCGTAACGGATCGAAGCAGTTCTGGTGCGCGACCAGAATACCTACATCAGAGGTGGAGCACCTCTGGTACGAAGCCAACAGAATACCCCTACCAGAGTTGGAGCACCTCTGGTACAAAGCCACCAGAGTTCGAGCAGTTCTGTCCGAGCACCTCTGGTCCTGGGAAAAATAAAATGTTACGGGAAGAAACAAAAATTAAACCGTATCCTGGGAAAAAAGAGGCTTCCCTTTATAAGGGGGTGAAAATCCCTTGAGTTTTCCGGTGTGGTATAAAACACACTAGAAACCCATCATTTTCCCAATTTTTCCATTTCAACGAGTGAACTTCAAGAATCAATTTCTCATTCACCCGTTATCCGTTTTGAGCTTACCATATATCAAATTGTAGCCCTTAACAAGGACAATCCGAAACCACTTTGACCCGACCCAAATCGGAAGTGGACCCCACTCAAATAATTGCCCCAAAATGACCATTTAATGCAATTTTTAACACATTTTTCCAACACAACGGACAAGTGCTTCGCTACACTATAGGCACGGCGTGCCTATCTCCCCAGGCACGACCGTGCCTGGCCTTTTTCGTCGCCTGGTCATCTTCTAGTGCGTGCCTGGCTGCTGGGCACGGCCGTGCGTGACTGCGTGGCCTTTTCTTCATCAATTCTCTTTGTTTCTTCTTCCATATGCTCCCGAGTGCTCCCGAATCGATCTGAAAGGTCTTCTCTTCATCAATTCTTCACCGTGAACTTCCCGGAGACCTCCAAAACTCTAGAACTCTCTTGAATGCTCATCAACTCTTCTTGATTCTTTCTCAAGCGCCGGTGTCAGATTGAATTACCTGATTTTCTACTCCAAACAACAATAAACCTGAACCAACGCCCGGTACACATAACTTGAGCTAAAATTGATATTTGTGACACCTAAGAGTTAGGAAAAACGTTAAAAACCGATCCCAACATGCATCGAATGTGTGTTGTAATATGGGCTTATCAGGAACCACTTTGAAACTATTTTATACTATAAGCCAAATTCCAATAAAAAATTTCAAACCTATGTGATGGGCTGGTAGAAAGATTTGAAGGGAAACATTGCAGATTTCAACTATGTCGTTCCCAATATGGTTGTTTGGAATCTTTGGAAGACACAAAATTAATTTCTTTATGATAATAAAACGGCCTACCTTCCTGAGGCGATAAATGATATCTAAACTTTCATTTTTACCATTTCCAATGTTCGACCTTTTGTCTCTCAGAATGCTCAAAACCCTTTCAACCTTCTTACTATTCCACCCAAAACACCCAAGAGAATCCCCATGCCAATAGGGGTGAGCATTCGGTCGGTCGGTCAAATAACCGACCGATAACCGAACCGACCAATATTTTTTACTCAAATAACCGTCCGAAAACCGACCGACAACATTACAAAAACCGACCAAAAAATGTCATTCGGTTTCGGTTGGTAACCGAATAACCGACCATAATCAGTCGGGGGTATTTTTTGATGAAATTTTAATGTCATGTTCTTCATCAAGTATAGTTCATCCATACCAAATTTGAGCAAACAATTCCATCGGGAAGCTCGTCAAATGATTTTTGGAAGTTAACTGCGTTTTATATGTATTTTTAGCGCAGTTAATTTCCAAAAATCATTTGACGACCTTCCCGATAAAATATTTATCTGAATGTTTTTGTGGATAAACTATACTTAATGAAGAACATGCCATAAAAATTTCATCAAAAAACTCCACCGGAAAGATCCCCAAAATCCGTCGGCCGGACGGCGGTTCCTGTCCGGAATTCCGGACAGGAAGACTACTCTACTATGGAGTATATATACTTATATAATTTGGACGGTTATCGGTGACCAACCGATAACCGATAAGTATAACCGATTAAAAACCGAAAAACCGAAAACCGATTCTTTTTATTTTATTATAACCGAAAACCGACTGAAAACCGATTTTTTCGGTCGGTTCGGTCATCGGGTTTCGGTCAGGTCGGTTAAATCGGTTATTTGCTCACCGCTACATGCTAACACTACCATTTGGAATAAACCTCCTCCTTCCTACCAAAAGATCAACTCTGCCACGCGCCATATTAAACCAACCCTTGCAAGAACTGAGGCACTTTTTCGAGATAGATGAGTTTGGCACTTACAAAGGTCATATATATGACATACATGAGCAGCACTAGTGACAATAGCATTGCTGCCTATCATGTCATCTATCAAACCATTATCAACATTAAGAGTAGAAATAAAAATATTATTCTTGAGATTTATAATAGCGATAAATATGCGATGTATATATATGAAGGCATTTAGCGCATATCACTTCAGCACTGACAATATTGGCTCCGTATTCAGAAAATTAAAAGAACTCTTATGGACATTAATTGGACAATTGTACTCATTCACCCAAAGATCAATACAGCTGCGGAGTACTTAGCTTACAAGAGTATTTCCATAGCTACAAATAATTGTCATTATAATCATTTTGTAGGAATCATAAAGTTTGATGCGATTAGTTATTCTTATGTAATTTGATTTGAGTAGACTTTTGTCTAGTCCTCCTACTCTGTGTACTTTTCTTATTCAATAAATAGGTAGGGTGTTCCCTGGTCCCTACCCCAAAGAGTCTTCTGATTTTTTGGACAAAAACCGGGTTAAAAAATGACAATTATTTTTTACTTGATCAAGTTTACAAATTGATCTCTTATATAAATGGATGAGATACTAAATTATCCTAGAAAAGATGTTGTTATAATCATAAATATGAATACAAACATATTTCTACTACAGTTATAGTATGTGTTTAAATATTTCTACTAAACTCTATGAAAAATATTGAATATTAAATTAAATTTATAGTAGAAATAATATTAAGATCAAATATAATATTATTAGTGCTTATATATATATTTGTTTCATTATATTTAAAATTTTAAAAAATATTAATGCAAAATTTAACATTGTTAGCTCCCGGTTTATTTTTGTGAAACAGTTAACTAGTTGGGATTAATATTATGAACTTTTCTAGTTGAGATTATTTCTTTAAAAATGATAAAGGTAGAGATTATTCGTGTCAATGTTGCCAAAAAATTAAATGGAAAAGTTAATTAACACGTACTGTTAACTCCCGTTTTATTTCAGTGGAAGAGCTAATTAGGATTATTATTGTTTACTTTTTCAGTAGGATTTTTTTTAAATGTTTAAAAGTAAGAATTATTGATGTTAGTTTGACCTAATAATAATAAAAATACCTCTGTCACAAATTGATTTATAAAGTCAACATTTATTTGTCAATCAATGTTAAAGTTAAATCATCTCTATTGGTAATTAATTCAATTTTAATAATTAAAATATACATATTTAGAAACTGCAATAAAATCTCTATAAAGTTGTAAAATCCAAATCAGGTGATTATTAAAAATTAATATCCCAATTAAATGATTAAAATGAAACTCTATGTCTCAAAAAACTTGATTTTGTAAATCAATTTGGGATGAAGATAATAATGAAGATATCAAAGACCAAGGCACACCGTTTTATTCATCATATTGAGGTGCATAGCTAAACGTGCTATGCACACATTATTATTACACACAGGCAAGTACACATATATTATAAACTGGATTAAGAGGATACAATTCAAGCTAGAATTGTATCTTCTTACCAAATGCAACTGCCGATGATCAGCAGTTGCGAGTGCACCAGCAGCGGAAATCGTCTCTGCATCGGCCACTGACCAAATGCTCTTTGTTCTTGCAGTGATCGTCGCAGCTGCCGTTGGTGAAGCAGGGTCCCCTATATGTGTCTGCCAGGTTCTCGCATCTCGCTGCCTCTGCAGTATGCACCATCACTTCTTCTGCATCCACCATATAATGCATTTGTCAAGTTTGAGCATTATTGACTAAGAAAGTCAAAGATGGTGAAGTTTTGTGGTAATGAGAGAATTTTTTATTTATTTCTCTTTTTCTTTCTTCCTCTCAAATTCCAGCAAGCACACATTTTATTCTTTATCTAAAAAAATTGGAGATGAAGTAAATGTTCCCTTCTTTGAATATTGTAATTTTGCTCCCTATAAGAATGAGAATATTGTACTTATCACATCTTGTAGTCATTACTATCAAATAGTTGCAGTACTATGCATTAAACATGACATTATTTACTTATCATCAATGAAAGTATTTTTCAATGATGAAAGTAACGACACGACTCCCATTTCCTGAAAAAAAAAAAAACAACAGTCCTATTTTGGAATTCCAGAACCTATTTACTCGTATTTAGGATAATTTTCCATTTTTTTTAATTAATGCACCTTTATACTAAGCTCGGGGGATTTTGGTTATTTAATACTCACTTTCTCCCGTCAAAATTAACTTTTTTATAATGGCAAACTTTGTGTTATTATATTGTGTATATATTTGTGCAAATTGAAAGTTATAAATTTTACTAGTATACATTTAAAGAGGTATTTAAATAATTTTTTTATATATTATAATAATTTCATATTAAGTACGTAGTATGTATTTTTTTGTGAAATAAAAAGAGTAGTTTTAATATCTCTTCTCTTTCTTGATTCTCAACTTCCAAGCGCAAGTTTTATTTTTTAATCAATTGTAACTGATAAGAACGTGCACAAAATTAAAAATGCTCCGTCTTGAATATTTTTTGCTTAATGTTTTCTCTATCCTAAAAAATGTGCACATTTATTTATTTAGATCAAGAATCAGATCGAGTTGAGTGATGATAATGGTATGTAAATACATCTATATATAACTACTAAAGTTTTTTATCATATCAATTACGAAGTATTAACTTTGTTACATATAGCGAGTGATATATATCGTTAAATGGGTTATGATTTTGCGTCACATATATATGCATGGAGTTATGGAACATTAAGATATGAGTGATGATAACTTACGAGCAACAAAGAGGAAAAGGAAGAGGAGGCACAAGCCACTGAGCGATTTCTTCTCCATATTTCTCGATCGATCGGCTTAGATATTGTTTTATGTTTAATTTGTGGTCTAGCTGTATCATATTAGCTACGCACACCGCACATATATATAGGTATAAGATGACTACCTTGCTTGAGTCCGAACTCCCCGGTACACGCCGGGTTACACACCAGTCAAATTGTTCGCGTACACACAATTTGACCGGCTACACAGACAATTTAACCGGCGTTTTATGAAGAAAATCGATTTCTACACAGACAAAAATAAAGAGTTGTCTGCATCACATACATTTTAGATGAGATTTTTTCATAAAATGTCCGTGATACAATCAATTTTAAATGAGAATTTTAAACGAGAATTTTAAAATGTCTGTGATACGGACATTTTTTTATTTGTGTGAAGATCGGTTTTCTTCATAAAACATCGGTCAAATTGTCTGTGTAGCCGATCAAATTGTCTGTGTGCAGACAATTTGACCGGCGTATTACCTCGCGTGTAAAAAGTGACGTGTACAAAGGGAACTTTCCAGCCAGGGGTGGAGACAGAGAGGGGTTGGAGGGGGCCTTGGCCCCTGCAAGAAAAAAAATCTTAAGTATATATTATGTATAAATACTTTGAATCTAGAAAAAATATGTTGATATTTTAAACTTTGGCCCAACAATGTAAAATTCTCAAAGCCGGGTCCCCTTAACCATTTCTGGCTCCGCCACTGTTTCCAGCTACCTTTAGGCTTTAGCTAGTCTTTGACTACGTACATGCTATCTAATATCTAAAACATAATACTCCCACCATTCTTAAATATGAGTCTTCTTAGGTTTTGGCACGGATTTTAAGAGGAAAATAATAGGGGTAGTGTAAAAGATATAGTGAGTTGTGGGTAAATGAAAAAGTAGGAAAGAGAAAGGGATAATGGTAATAAAAATGGGGATATAAAAGTATTTTGATTGAAAAAACTGACCAAAAAAGAAATAGGGACAAATAATTAAAAACGTCCAAAAAAAGAATGCGAGAGTTAATAAGAACAGAGGAGTATCTAAAAGTAAAAGAATTTGATGAAAAAGTTTTCCATTAGAAAATGTTTACATGAAAATCAATAAGGCACTCCTATCTTGTTTGCAACCTTTCTTATTCTCCGTATAGTGTTCAACCAAAACCGATATCGGAACCGGCTGTTTTTAACCTGAATCGGGGGTGGCTTGTGATTCGGAACAGGAGGTTCTAGACCACGGTTCGGTTCTTTGGATGTTGGGGGACCGGAGCAGTACCGGTCATGTTTCAGAACCATTTTTAATTAAAAATAAATAAATAAATAAATACGTACTACATTCGTTCCAAATTAATTTGCAAAATTGACATTTCTTGGTCAAATAGTTTCACTTTATTTACTTAATTAAGATGTCATTGTTTATTCTAATTTGGAGTTTGCAACTTTGAAGACATTATAATGCAGTTTTTGAATATATAAATTTTATTTATTAAAAATTGAATCAGATATCAATACGTGGGATTAAACTTTAACCATGATTGATCAGAAAATGATGACTTTTCAAATCGATTTGTGATAGAAGGAGTATATATATTAATAATTAATAATACTCCATATTCAAATGTTTGATACACTTATCTGATGAATTTTAATTTTTGCTATATTTTTCGTTTTTGGTAAATTTTCGTTTTAAAAATACCCAATTACTTTTATTTTTTCTATTTTTTTACCTGTTTTTGCAATTTTTTTCCCTTTTTGGAGAGACAATAGATTCCTTCTTTGCTGAAATTATTTCCCTCTCGATGCAATTATTTTTGGGTGTGAGTTATTAATGCCCGCCTACAATTTGAATACGTAGGATCTCTTTCTTCTTCTCAACCTCCATGTTCCAAGCGCACGTTTAATTTTCTTTCTAAATAAAGTGTAACCAAGGGCGGAGCTGAGGTGCCAGGCTAGGCCCCGACTCACCCTAAATTTAAAAAATGTCAATATTTTTAGTGTAAAAAATTTCGTATAATTTTTTTTCTAATAATATTCTTTGTACCGGCTCAGTCTGACCCAATGCTTTAATTTGGCTCCACCCCTGAGTGTAACTGATATAAATGTCCACAAAAGTCAAAAGTATAATGCTTCGACTTGTTTTTCCTTACGACATGTTTGGAAGTTGGTTTTCTAAGAGGGAGAGGAAAACATGGAGGGTTGATTTTGAAAAAATGATTAGGGAAGATTTTTGTGACCTTCCAAAAATTCATTCTTTTTGTTTGAGAGTTACAAATTTGAATCGAGGGGGATTGGGGAGGAATTATAATTAAAATTATTTCAAAGATATGATGAATTTAAATAGTTGAACTTGCATTCATTTTAAGGTAAGCTAAAATCACCATTTAATTAGTTATCTTCAAAAACTCCCAAATTTGTGAATCCTAAAAATTCAGCATTTGAATGGGTTTAAAAGGTCACAAGAACCCTCTAAAATGATTCCTTCTAATTTTTAAACTTCCAAATAAGAAGGAGATGTCATAAACCATATGAATCCCCCCCTCACCTCCAAGGCTCCAAAAGATAACTCCAAAATATACCATAAGGGTATGTTTGGAAGTTTGAAGGGAAGGGGAGGGGAAGGTTTTGGAGGTAAACCATTGGAAGGGAAGGAGAGGGAAAGGGTTGGAAACCATAATTGAGTATGTTTTGAAGTATCAAGTTTGAAAACATAAAGATTTTGGATGAATTATAATTAAAATCACTTCACATATATGACGAATTCAAATAATTGAGTTTATATTTATTTAAAATTGAGCTAAACTTGTTATACTTCAAGATCTTCAAATTTGGGGGAACTTGAAAATTGAGCATTTGAAGGGGTTTGGGGGGTTACAAAAGCCCTCCAAAATCATTCCATCCATATTTTTTATCTCTCAAACTTGAAAGGAAGGGTCATAAACCCTTGTCAACCATACCCTACCCTCCAAAACCCAACTCCCAAACATACCTAAAGGAATGTTTGGGAGTTTAGGAGGAAAGAGAGGGGAATGCTTTGAAGATAAGTTGTTGGGTTGGAAAGGGATGAGAATGTGAGGAAACCTTATTTTTATCTGTGGACCGGACTGGATAGAGACTGTCGAGTCATGGACCGGACCGGACAAGGACCACCAGTTCGTCGACCAGACCGGAACCGTCGGGTCATCGACCGGATCGGGACCGTCGGGTCATCGATCAGACTGGATCGGGTTTGCTCGGTCATCGACCGGACCAGACACAAATAATTTACGTTTTTATACATATTTTTGCGCATTGTTTTTTAGTAATTCATTTAATTGACTTCACAGTTGAATTTTTAGCTGAGTTTTTATGGACATAATAATCTACACTTGATGAAAAACATTCAATTAAAATTTCACAAAAAAATTAACTCGAAAACAAATTAGTCTAATATGATTATTTGATTAGTTTATTACTCGTAATTGATTCCATTCATAGTTGATTGTTTGATTTCTTAATTGTTGATTGTTTTCTATTGAGTGGTGATGTTATAGCTTATTGATGTTGTTATACAAACATTTTCAATTATGATAAAATTTATAAATTTAATTAATTTCAAGGTGTAATAAAAAGGATGGAATCTGAATAAGATTAATAAAAAAGAGGAAAAGATTAAGAGAAAAAGGCGCTAAATGAAAAAAGTTCAATGGAAAAGTTTGTTTGTGTAAAAAAGACTAATTCTGAATGTCTTCTTTAAAATGAGAACTCATAGAAGAACAATAATTTAACTACTAAAAATGAAATGATTCAGAATGATTACATCATTGGAGGGGGGATTTAAGAGGTGATAATAATAGAGTTAATTCTCTAAATATGACTTAAACATTGGTAAAGTGTACAAATAGGATCATCATTGTTTCCTTCCTAAATAAGGATCACCAATACTGTAATATGATTAATTTAGAGAGAATAGGTTTTTACAATTTTTTACAAAAGTTTTGAATTATTATTATTATTACTATTATGCATGTCAGTTTAGATAGAAAGGGGTTCTACAATTTTATGTAGCATTAGGTCCATTATAATTTTCCGGCCATAGGCCTTCGAACATACAAGGCCGCCCTTGTCAAGAGTAGACTCTTATTTCTGCATTATAACCTTAGTTAGTAGATACTCGGTGATATATATACTCATGGCTTGTTTACTAATAGAGATATTTTCCATTTTTCCAAAAAATTAAAAAATTGGAAAAATGGAAATAGAAAACGTGTTTACAAAAAAAACAGCTGAAAAACAGCTCAAATGGTGCACTCATTGAGAGTTTTACCAAACCGCTTTTCAAAATTAAAAAATGAAATATGTCTCTGTTTTCCTTAATAAATTGAAGAAGTGAGTTTTACTAGTATTCTAAATTTGGAAAACGCGGATGCTGAAGTGCCACTGCAATGAATTTGGATACTTACGCCTAGTGGTGGGTCCGGTCCCGCTCCAGTGTTAGTTCCAATTCAATAAACGACTCGACGATTCCAATCTGGTCCGATCAACGGCCCGGTGGTCCAGTTTGGTGTGGTCGACGACCAAGAATACCCAGTTCGGTCGAGTTGATGACCTGACAGTCCTAGTCCAGTGTGATCCAGTAGATGACCCGACGGTCCCGGTCTAGTTCGGTCAATGACCCGATGGTCCCTGTCTGGTCTGGTCAATGACTCGGCGTACCTGTCCAGTCCAGTCCATGTCCTTGCGGTCCCTGTCTAATCCGGACAATGACACAAGAGTCTCTGTCCGGTCTATCCACGACTGGGAGGTACTTGTCCCGATTCGGTCTGATCTAGTCAACGACTCGGCGGTTCCAGACCGCTCTGGTCAACAATCTGGCGGTCCCGTCCTGTTCGGCCAATGACCCGGCGGTCTTCGTCCTGTCCGGTCAACGATCGTGCGGTCCCCATCCTATTTGGCCAACGATCCGGCGGTGTCCGTTCAGTCCGATCGATAATTGTGCGGTCTCAAACCGGTCCCGTCAATGACCCTGTGATCCCTATCTAGACCAGCAATGACGTGGCGGTTCAGTTTTGGTTTGTTGAAAATATTTTTTAAAGTGAAGAGTTTTAAAAGAGTCGTTG